GGTCTTTTTTCTTTGGTCCAGCCTATTGGTGTTTGGTATGCTTCTTGTGCTTTCATGGGCATGTCCTTCTTCTAATTGGGAAAATTTTCCTCAATGATTTTGTGGAATATGTTTTCGGCACCTTTGAGTTGGGCTTCCTCACCTTCCTCTATGCCTAATATTCTTAGGTTTGGCCTTTTTAATGGTGTTCCACATTTCCTGGATGTTTTGTGTTAAGGAATTTTTGGATTTATGATTTTCTTTGGTAGATGAATCTGTTTCCTCTAGTTTATTTTCCGCACCTGAGATTCTCTCTTTGTTCTCTTGAATTCTGTTGGTTATGCTTGCGTCTGTAGTTCCCAATCTTTTGCCCAGTTTTTCTATTTCCAGCATTCCTTCATTTTGTGTTGCCTTTATTTTCTCTATTTCTGTTTTCAAGTCTTGAACCATTTCCTTCACCGGCTTAGTTGTTTTTTTCTTGGCTTTCTGTACTTTCTTTACTTTCCTTAAGAAATTTGTTCATTTCTTCCACTTTTTTGTTTGTCTTTTTCTTCCATTTCTTTAAGGGATTTTCTCACATCTTCTTTGATGGCCTCTACCATTTTTATGACAGTGATTTTTAAGTCATTCCCTTCTGCTTCATCTGTTTTGTTGTTGTCTTTCAGTCTAGTTGGTGTAGATTCCCTAGTTTCTGGTGGTGTCATGCTTGTCTTTCTGTTGTTAGGTGGTTTTTTTTGTATTGCTGTCTTCCCATAGCTTCTTCCAGTAGGTGTTGGTGGGGTCTCCCCCTCTCTCTATGGTACTTCCCGGTGGGCTTATGTGGGTCAGAGGTTCAATATCTGTAGCTCTGCATGGTTCAAGCTCTCTAGGAGGTCTCTCCACAGGCAGTGGCCCCAGGATTGGGTCAGCAATCAGGCTCCCTTAGAAGACTTGTGATGGGGGTCAAAGATACCGAAGGCCGGGACTCTGGATGTTCCTTGTGCCTATAGGCAGATCTATCCTGGGCCTGGTACTCTCTAGCTGAGGCTTCTTTAGCAGAGGCCCTGCTATGGGGGTGAAGGATCCTGTTGGCAGGAACACAGAGTGGTTCCTCAGAGATTGGCAGATCTCTGGGAGGGGCCCGGGACTCCAGCAGAGGCTGAAGAGGACAAAGGCTGGGCTGATACTCAGGATGTTTCTGCATTGATAGTCGGATCTTACTGGGACCTGGCACTCTCCCACTGAGGCCTCTTTAGCAGAGGCCCTGCTTCAGGGGTCAAGGATCCTCTAGGCAAGGGCTGGCAGAAGAGGGAATCTCTTTTGCAATTTTTAAACAAGATTCTCAAATGTAGGAAGTATGAGCATGCTAAAAACAATTGTTGATGACTTTCAACTTGATGAGGTCTTTAATGATAGTTCTGCCTGGAGTTTCTGTTTTCTAAGTTTAATGTGTGAACCATGACACCCCTGTGTATACTTACAAATACCTCAACAGCCAAAGAAAAGATATATAAATAAATTAATAATGAAGACTAGATGTCACCTCAGAGGTTTGGAGTTCTCTGGTTTCTCAGATGGTTTGTATTACTTCCCTAGTGTTTGCCTTTTTTGATGGAAAGCAATTTCATTTAAGAAACCCTAGCCTCAGCTAGGAAGCCTAGTTTATCTGATTGCCTTTGCAGACTGTCTCACTGTCCTTAGTGAGAACTGAGAATTTAGTAGGGAAAGCAAGTCGCTGGTACAGCATGGCAGAATTTACTTTACCTCTTCTAGCTCACCATGTTCAAAATACTTTGAAACTACCTTCTGTAACACACTCTTGTTGCTTTTGAGTCTTATTTTTCCACAGTCCCTTATATGTGTCCTCGCATTCAGCTCAGATTCTCTAGCCACTTTATCACTTTTTTTATCTGCCTCATTGCTTTCAGGTGTGTGTGTGTGTGTGTGTGTGTGTGTGTGTGTGTGCGCGCGCGTGTTCATTTTACTAGTATTTTGAGACTGAGTTTCTCTATGTAACCTTTGCTGGCCTGAAACTTGGTGTGAAAACCAGGCTGGCCTTGAACTCAGAGACCACCTGACCCTGCCTTCTGAGTGCTGGGATCAAACACATGTGCCACCATGCCTAGCTGTTTTTATTTTTTTTTTAAAAAAACCAAACAAACAACAAAGAAAAAACAAACAAACAAACAAAAAAACCAGAGTCTTACACTGAAGCTATGTCTGACCTAGAACTTGACATGGAGACCAGCTGGCCTTGAACTTGACCTAATATACCTGTTTCTGCCACCAAAATTTTTAGGTTACAGGAGTGTAGCACCACACCAAATTGCTTCCTTAAACTGTTGGCAATAGTAGAATCTCTTCGACTTGATAATACACTGCATCTGCCCCAAGTAAAACATAAACCCATGCTGAGTAGTTTTATATTAAACTCATTGCCACATATCTCAAGTGAACCCTGTATCCCAGCATGGTGGCTACTTTTGGCATTTGTTCTCTACTTCCCTATGGTGGTTTGAATGAGAATGGCCCCCACAGGCTCATATGTTTGAATGCTTGGTGCCATTAGTGGAACTGTTTGAGGAGAATTAGGAAGTGTGACCTTGTTGGAAGAGGTGTATCACTGGGTGTGGGCTTTGAGGTTTCAAAAGCCAATGCCAGGCCCAGTCTCTCTCTCTCTCTCTCTCTCTCTCTCTCTCTCTCTCTCTCTCTCTCTCTCTCTCTCTCTGCTACTTGCAGAGAAGGATGTGAAGCTCTCAGCTACTGCTCCAGAGCCATACCTGACTGTTTCCCACCATGATGATCATTCAATAACCCTCTGAAACTGTAAACAAGCCCCCTATGAAATGCGTTCTTTTGTTTTATTAATTTCTTTTTGTTTTGTTTTTTTGAGACAGGGTTTCTCTGTGTAGCTTTGGAGCCTGTCCTGGTCTCTAGACCAGGCTGGCCTTGAACTCACAGAGATCTGCCTGCCTCTGCCTCCTGAGTGCTGGGATTAAAGGTGTGTGCCACCAACACCCAGCATGCTTTCTTTTATAAGACTTGCCTTGATCATGGTGTCTCTTCACAGCAATAGAATAGTAACTAAGACACTCCTCCACAAGGCAGTTTCAATCTCCTCTCCCTACACTACCTGTAGGTCCTCCCCAAATCTGGAGAAAAATGAAAGCAATCTGAAGAGAACTCCAAGGACCACCTGTCCCTGTCTTTAGTCTTTCTTTAGTGTTTTCTCATCACAGCCCTGTGGACTGGACTGTGTAATAAGCATTACTGTGTTTTTTGCAGCATCCCTGGCCTCTATTCACTCAATGCCTATAGCACCCAACCTTCGCATCTAGTTGTGACAATTCAAAGTGTCTTGGGGAAGGGCATGTCTTATAAGGCTTCTTTGACATGTGTGGGATCCTTCCCTTTGTCATGAGTGGAAGAAGAATGTATTGACATATAAAGGATAAAGGGCAAGGGTACTGTTTAATATCCCTCAAAGCACAGATTTCCTCACTAGAAAGAATTACTTGGCCTCAATGACAGAAGTGTCACTGAGCGAATTCTAGGACAGGCTCCAAAGCTACACAGAGAAACCCTGTCTTGAAAACAAAACAAGTATTATGGTTGAAAAATCTCTGCTCTAGATAAATTATATTCATTCTTTTTTCTAAAGAAACATTTATTGAGAGATGGGGGTTGGAGAGAAGTCGGAGAATTAATTAAATCCTTTAATCCTCACAACAGCCCTAAAGAGGGGGGGGGAGATTATGTCTGGTTTACAGGGAAGAAAACTAAAGCACAGAATAACTGGACAACTTAGTCACACAGCTAGTACATTAAAGGAGAAGGATTTGAAGACCACGCCATGTTCAATCTTCCTAAACTGTGTTTAACTTCTGCATTACACAAATTAATTTTGATTTTGTAATGTTTCCCATGTCCCTCAGTGCTGGGAGAGATGATGTGACATAATTCTAACCAGTCAGAGGTCTGTGGGCATCCCAAACATTTTCTTGAAAAGGAAGTAGACTGTTGGCATGTGCCATTTTTGCATTAGTTCTATATTTTGACTTTGCTGTATTTGAGAACTACAACATTATCCTACTAAAAGTGACCATTCTCATTGTGTCCAGAATGTTTGTGTCATGCTAGCAGTAGATGGGCTGGTGTGATCATGAGTACACACGTATTACAAAGAAAACTACATGGTTTTTGTGCAAAGAAACAAAACAGCTGCATTTGCTACTATCATACTTTTTTGTTATATGATGAAAAATAAAACCCCCTAATTGGAAATTTCACTGTTTAGTGGGAGTTTCAATTATATGAAGGAAAAATCAAAACTCTATTGATTGATGATTCCCATATTTCCCACTGGTAGCTGTTTCCTATATCACTTTGACAATGTCTTTAATCTGCTCATGAGCTGCTGATGGAATGTTTTGTGTTTCTGTTTATGTGGCTAATCTGTCTTGGATCATATTAGTTGGATGTTGTGGGAGTTTTTTTCTTTTTTCTTTTAAATCCAAAGACATGGTCCATCTCAAGAAGTTTAAAGAACATTAGTTAATTCAAAGGACTAATGTCAATGGAAAATAATGGCTTGTCCTAATTTCGGATGATAAATTGATTTTTATAATGATTAGGGCCTTGTGTTCTTTATCCTAAAGAAGAAATACAGAGAGAAAAAGGCAGATGGGATAGGAGACAGTGTGATTGATAGGCAAGAACCTGTTTTAACAGTGAAATACTCTGTATCATATTCCTCTCGAGAGTAGCTACTTAAAACCTTCCAAATTATCTACAATGGCATTCAATGAGATGAGATTATATATAAACAGCTATTCTACAAATAGATCAGCCCTAAATACTTTATCACCCCCTTTCTCAGTTGTCTTGAGCTTCCCCTAATTCCTAAGGTCACTCTCCTGGGACCATGTGTGTAGACACAAGAAAAATCAGCTACTCCCCATGTCCATAGTACATATCTTAAAGTGCGACATCTGAAAGCAGCCAGTGAAATATGCTGCTCCTTCTATTTCCTCAATACTTACTGCCTTGTTTAAGGGTCCACATGAATTTAGCTGTGCACACAGTCATAACTGCTGCTAAGCTGTTCCCCATAGCCCGATGGAAAAATAGTAACAGTGGTACAAGTGTTTTTCAACCCAAATCATATGTGTATTTTTATTAGTGATTTAAAATATTTGGGATTTTAAAATACAATTATACTCTGAAGGCTATGTACAGCAATAAAACCAAGACCAATGAATAGATTAAAAACAACAACAACAACAACTCAGTTAAAGGCTGTCTTCAGGCTAGCAGTTTTCCTGTGCTAAAGCCTGCTAAAATGCAATGGGTTCTATTTTGTGCAAAATGAGCCAGCTGCCATGACAACTGTCTATGAATATTATTTTACTATTCGTCATTAGTTTCCAGTAGCTGCCTCTGGGTCCAATGTTCACTCTAAAACCCAGATGCACATCCATTCTTAATGGAGTTCTCCTGGACATGTTTATAAAAAACAAAACCACACTTTCAACTGGCTAACTCTGTCTTTTCAAAGAGAAATTTGAATTAATTTTATTGCTGATTTTTACCTTTCTCCTGGAAAAGGTGATTTGCACATGAATTTATATTGAGCTCAACTGTAGATTTCATTAAGTAGACACACTCGTTCAGAGTTAAGGAAGTTTCCTTTTAAATAAGCATCTCGTGTGTTTAAAAAAAGTATTTTGGGGATAAGGAGATGGCCCAGTTGGTAAAGTATTTGCTGCAGTGCAAGCATGAGGACCTAAAGTTTGGATTCCCAGCACCAATGTAAACAGCCTGGGGTAGTGGTGTGCACCAGTAATCTCAGTGCTGGGGAGACAGAAGACAGAGAGAGACACTCTCAACACTTACCATGCAAGCCTGAAAACTTGAGTTTGAGCCCTGGAACCCCTATAAAAGGGGACAAAGAATAACTCCACACAGTTGTCCTCTGATTTCTACACATGCACCATGACACGTGGAAGCCCCCACACACTCACCAAATACACTCACAACACACATTTACCACACACACTCTACACACTGAAGAAAGCATTTTAGAAAATAAGAAGATGGAGAAATGATTAAAGACACCCAACTTTGACCCTAGTTTACACATGTGCACATGCACAATCATACACATACAAGTGTAACAGCTTCTGTAGTTCCAAACGACAGGACATCCCATCCAAACTGACTTTGCCAAACAAGTTTCAAACCAAACTGATTTGAAATTCCCAGGGTAAGATCTGATAGAGATTTATGATCCTGTTCCATTTCTCTGACCTTCTTTTGGTTTTCCCTTCTCCATGTATCAGGTTCACCCTCTCAATAAACTGTCCTCACAGTGACAGCATTGCTCAGAACACCATACTTGGGTGAGAATGCTCAGTCTTAGTCCCAATTCTCTTTCCAGGATCCCTGAGATTCACTCATGTTCCCTCTCTATGTATTTTGCCCAAATCCTCTAGTAGGAGAAGAGGATGTGCTAACTGCCTTAGGTCTAAGATATATGCCCGACCCTGAACAATCACCATTGCTTGGGAATTAGACTATATTAATTGGTACAAGTCATCAGAATCCACAGCTAGTATGGAGTGGTATTAATCTCATGCAAAAATGCACATCTTTGAAACTAAAGGTTGACTTCAAAAAGGAAAATCAAGGTTGTAGTGCAGGAAGATCAAGGGAATATTTGTTGGTCTTATAACAATAATTGTATTTATGAACTAATATAAACCAGGTAGTGCTTATACAATTTTACAAGTATATTGGTTACAGGAAGTACATTGCTTCAAATAATAAAATAGCAGAAGTTGAACCAAAGGGTTGCTTTATTTTTTTAAAAGCTATGCGATATGAAACTAAAAAATATGCAGCTTCACTTTATCCTCCATATCTCAGGCATATGTAGCACTTTATAACTTATAATTTTGTACTGAAATTTTTCTCTTTAAATACTATCTTCATTTAAAAATCTTTTTATTTTATGTGTATGGGAGGTTTGCCTGCATATCTATCTGTACACCATGTGCATGCAGTGCCTACAGAGGCCCCAGAACTGTAGTTACAGATTGTTGTGAACTGCCATGTGGATGCTGGGAATAGAACCTAGGTCTTCTGCATGGACAGCCAGTGTTCATTTATAAAAAGAGGAAGCTGAGGCCCAGAGGGGATTATATAAATTGCTAAAGGCTGTAAGTGGCAGCACTGATACTTTCTTAAACTTATAAGAACTTAATCCTAGTTCTCTTTCTTAATCATCCTATTTGTTCATGTACTGAGAACTTCATTTTAAATTTTAAAAAAGACAGTGTTTTGTTCTAGGCCCGATATTAATGTCATGATCTTCTTAGGAAAAAAAACAATTAAGAAAAATGTCTTGAATCTCTTGCCAACTTGATTGCATGGTGTTCTTTTCTTGTCACCACAGTAGTGGGAACATGGTGTATCAGCAGGAATTGTGTTCAGTAGTAAGCAACAGAGATTTAAAACGGAGGTGAAGGGCCCAAGAGATGGCTCAGTGAGTTAAGTTGCCTCCCTACAAACCTGAAGACCTGGGTTTGATCCCGGGAATCACATTGTAGAAGGAGAGAACAGACTCTGGCAAGTTGTCTTCTGACCTCCACACTCATGCTGTGTGGCATGCCCCCACCCCCTAAATAAGTGTAACAATGTTTAGAGAGAGCCAGGCATTGTGGCTCACACTCATTCTAGCTGGGCTGAAGCAGGAAAATTGCAATGAGTCTCAGCCAGCCCCATGCTACACTGTGTATTCCAGGCTAGCCAGGCCTATATAGCAAGACCTTATTAAACAAAACAGTGTAAAAGGCCATTTTCTTTTTTAGCATAAAAGCAGAGCTTCACTCAGAAAATGAAAGTTCTAGTTCTAGTAACAAATAGCCCTTCTGGACCTGTTAAGGGGAATGACTCGTTAAATATAAGGAACAGTCCAGCAGTTAATGACATCAGATTACATTATACTCAATTTCATTAAAACTGTTTTGTCAATTGGACCTTTCACTGAATAAGAATGACAGCCCACCTCATTGGGACAAATTAATGAAGTTATACTAGATGACCAATGCCTTTTTTTTTTTTAGTGAAATTACTGACTATACAACACAACATTTCTCAAGACGATTGTGTAATATAGTTTGACTTCAAAAGTCATGAAAGAGACAGACATGGTTGTGCACTACTGAAATGCAGGCCCAGCTAGGGAGATTAGGACAGGAAAATCACTGTGAGTTCAAGGCAAGCCTATGCTACTTAGTGAATCTGAGAACAGCTTGAGTGAACTCGGAGAACATTCAGTGTTCAACACTCTGAAAACAAAAGAGACCCAGTTTCAAAGATCCACTGGGGAGGGGAGAGTGCAAGCAAGCACTGGCAGTGGTGGTGGTGGTGGTGGTAGAGGTGGTGGAGGTGCTGATAGAGTGCCAACCTAGCATGTGTGAGGCCCTGGGTTCAACCCCCTATACCGGAAAACAAACAAACGATTTAGCTTTAGAAAACATTCTCCTTTGAAAGACCTCAGATTAGAGACTCAATTTACGTGCTCCAGATTAGAAGCCTTGACTTGTGTGTTGTAGGGTGTTTGTACACTGTGTAAAGATATATTGCTATGATTGGTTTAATAAAGAGCTGGATAGCCAATAGCTAGGCGGGAGGTATAGATGGGATTTCTGGGTAGAGAAGGAGGATACAGGAGAAGAATCTAGGTGGGCAGGAGATGCCAGGAGACATAGGGAGGAAACAGGAGGTATAAGATAGAAGAGGGGTAGCACCATGTGATAGAACATAGATTAATATAAATGGGTTAATCTAAGTTATAAGAAGTAACTAGGAACAAGCCTAAGCTATAGGCTGAGTTTTCATAATTAATAAGTCTGTGCCATTATTTGGGAGCTGGCCCGTGGGACAGAAAAAGGCATGTTACACTTGTGTGCATTCTATTCCATTCCTTAATTAATTCACTTAATTAAACCCTATTCATCTTTCAGAGGAGCCTTCCATTACCTCTTTTTTTCTTTTCCTTCCTTTTTAAAAATATTTGAGACTGGGTCTCATTGTGTAGCCTTAGCTGTCCTGGAATTCACTCTGGAGGCCATGCTGGTCTCAAACTCACAGAGATCCACCTGCTTCTGCCTCTTAAGTGCTGGGATTTAAAGGTGTGTGCCATTATGCACAGTTTTCCCTTACCACTTAATTTATTCTTGCAATATACATCCCTGATTTGCTTTGTTTTGCAACTGCAAATTTTAATTATTTAATATGTATTTCCATACAAGACTTCAGGAGGGAAGAGACCTTGTTAATTTTATTAACTGTTCTACCCTAGGAGTTACAAAAGTGTGTAGCATACAATAGATACTCAACAAATACTTGTTGAATGAGTATATGAATGACACCAAGATAAGAATTGCTCTAAAAGAAAATGCTTTCAAAACTTTCTCAAAGGCCTTGTCATAAACTCTTAGTCATCTGAAGAAGTCGAAAGAATCTTTAAAACAAAGGTATGGCTCTTCTACAGGGCATGTTTTAACTAATAGTTTTGACATTTTTCTAAGATACAAACTGTTCTTTATTTCCCCGTGTTCATGAACTCTCTCTCTCTCTCTCTCTCTCTCTCTCTCTCTCTCTCTCTCTCTCTCTCTCTCTCACACACACACACACACACACACACAAATGGTTGTCAAGGAGGTAATGGTGACCAAAGAAAGCTTGAAGAACCTTTTCATAAGCCAGAAGTAGTTCTCTTATCTGGGTTACATTGCCCACATTTCATTGACAGATACTGTCGTATCTCAATCCTACATTGTGGTGTTGTCAAGGAAACCTATTAATGAATCATTCTAGAATTTTTCTCGGTAAGATTCCAGACAAGGCTGGGGAAACCTGAGTAAGGCCTGTAAACGTGAAGATGGACTGTGTCCTGAGCCTGCAGGTCAGGACGAAAGACTCAGCCAGCAGTAAAATGAAGATCTAGGGAGTCTAGCGTCCTTGAGCCTGTGTGGAATATAAAACCTAGAGGGAACGGTAAGAGCCCTTAGTGGACAGATGCATCGAGTGAGCACTGGCTAGGC